CAGGAAGTGCCATCATTTCATCCCCTCCCCCATCACCAGTTCACCTTCCCCATCTCAGTCAGTTCTGGACTATCACCATTCATCCCCCCACATCCCAGGTATAGTCATCCTCCACCCCCCTCTCCACAGCAGGTGATCAAGTGAGGAGTCAATTTAGCAAAATCAAGACATGGAAGGCCCCTGGATCCAATGACATCAGCCCCCAAATCCTCAAGTGCTGTGCTTACCAGCTCTGAGGTGTGGTTAGGCACCTGTTCGTATACTTTGAGAAAATCCCCTTTCCTCTTCCCTCTCCACATGTCGGACTTCACCCACAGACCAACAAACTCCTACATACAGAAGTTTTCTGATGACACAGCCATTGTTGGTAGTGTCTCTGAAGGGAATGGCCTGGAATACAGGACTTTGTTAGCTGGTGTGAGCAGAACCAGCTTCAGCTCAACACCAAAAAGACAAAAGAGATGATCGTCAACTTCAGGAGGAAGACACCAGACTTCATACCAGTGAACATTCAGAGATCACACATAGAATTGGAGGATAGCTACAGATTCCTGGGTGTTCACCTGAACAAAAAACTGAACTGTAAACACTGACACAATCTATAAGAAGAGTCTCCTCCACCTGTTGAGGAGGCTGAGTTCATTCAGAGTGTGTAGGTCTCTTCTGAAGACATATTATGACTCCGTGGTGGCCTCAGTCATTTTCTATGCTGTGGTCTGCTGGGCAAGGCTAGCACGGACAGGGCCAGGGACAGGAACAGGTTCAATAGACTGATTAGGAGAGCGAGCTCTGTTCTGGACTGTCCGCTGGACTGAATTGAAGTAGTGGTGGAGAGGATGTTGGCTAAGCTGACATCCATCATGGACAACACCTCTCACCCCCTACAGGACATTGTGGGACCACTGAGCAGTTCCTACAGCAGCAGGCTGTTACACCCACGTTGTAAGGAGAGGTATCGCAGATCCTTCTTTCCTGCTGCTGTCAGGATATATAACACATGCACAGCCTGATCCATGATGTTAGCCTCAGTAATCTATTTGTATTTTGGTGTTCAATCAATCTTAAACTGTTTATATTCATATAACATTTTAATAACTCTCACTTATAATTTACCTTTATTTAATTCGTTGCATTGTAATTTTTAATATTTATTTATCTACGCCTTCACTGTGCCTATGCTTTTTCCCTTGTAAATTTCCCCACTGTGGGATCAATAAAGTATTTTAATTCTATTCTGTGTTGGAATGTTGGAAACACTTACCACTGACATTGTAAATTTTTGTTATTTGGGGCTATTCTTGTTGTCTAAATTTTGGGGGTAATAAATATCAAATGACAGCGGTGTTTCTTATTCATTCTTAGTAAAATCAAAGTGAACTTGGACTTATTTAATCAACATTTATATTAAATAGGAAAAGCACACATCTAAATAATATCCCTAATTTATTGTGAGTAGTTTACTTCCATTACAATGATGATATCTACAGACAGAAGGACATCCGTTCAATGGGGACCCCACTGTCCCCTGTAATATCCTACCTCGTGGGATTGGAAAAAAGAGCACTAAGACCTAAACCTGGCCACTGATTCACATATGTTGACAACATCTGGGTCAACATCCATTCATCCATACCTCATCTTTCAAACACAAGTAACATTTCTGCGGTTTTTGGACATTGTCTTTAGTCCAATTTTCATTCTGAAATCACAAATTCTTTTAAAAAAAAAGTTTTATCTCACTTGAATTGAAAGACTCCTTGGTTAACTTTAAAATTCAATAGCATGTAAAAAAAATTACAAACTTATTCATTTCATCTGACATTAGGCTCAGTTTTTCTTGAAATGCACACATGCGTAGTCCAGCTTTAAATCATACCCTTGATTTGCTCTGAATTGACACCGAAAAGGAAACTTTCCATTTTCTCTAACAACCCTGTGTTACTTTATTATTTCTAAAAACTTTTGATGATATCTTAACTGACATTGCAGAGTTTGAGAAATGTAAATAGAGACATTTAAAGCTTATAAAGTTGCAAAATTCAACAGTTTGGTTTCTTTTTTGTGCCATGTGCACAGCAATATACACTTGCAGCCTTGACTTTGCTCCTCCACAGGTTGATCAAGTTAGCTACAATAGTCTGTGTATTACAGTGAACATGACAATATAAATGTTTTAGGACTAGGACAGTTAATAATTTATTTTTAATTGAAGAAATAATAATTCCAAATCAGTTGCTAAGCTGTCATTTAAAATACTGAGCCATGTACTCTCAAAATGTACTAACAAAAATACTGACAGTTCAAAAGTAATAAATCAGAGACAGATTTCCAAAATTGAAAACAATTTATTAATTCTCAAAATGTTATAAAATGGACAGAAAACCAAAGCACGATAACAATGGAATCCCCCAAATGAAAACAAGAACTTAAGAGGCTGTCTCACAAGTCAAAAGTACAATTAAATAGTGTATACAAGAGCGAGCTGAGTCACTAAAATTAATAATGAACTGGTTTCTCGCCCCACACTTTATAAGTCAGGCAATCTGTATCTTAGAATTTCAGAAAGTGATTTTTTGTTTTTGTTTTAAGTGTTTGAACAGTTTTTTCTTTGAACAAGTATAATACACAGTTACTAAAATGACTTCCAGATCCCTGTTGCACAAAAAAGCAACATTCTTATGTCTCGTCTAACTGAATTTATTATTCTTTTACTGTACTCTGAATGGTAAACCAAAATTGTAACTGATTTATTCCACATTTAGACTGAAATACATGTTTAAGCCACCTGCTGGCCTAAATGTACAATGTGTCAGTTATTAAGTTTATTTATATTCAACTACTTTTACTTTAAACATAATCATAGGATAGGTGAAATTTTTTCCTTGACAGCAGTAAGACATTAAAAGCCAAGTAGTAGCAGGATGTAAATGTCTTAGACTTCATGGACAGCAGTAGTTTTCATTGGAGGAGATTTTGAATCGTGGAATGAATCTTTTGAGACCAATACTGTTCCTAAAATTTCTACAAAGAGAATTGAACAAAATGACTCATTTAAGGACATCACAGAAAAACATATTTTTTTACTTAGTAGATAATAATTTTGTCCAAATAATTCAGTGACTCACAATTAGTTCTTGAGATTATTCTCAATAGACTTTATCAAACACTCACAATTATATAAGTATTCAAGGGTACTTTTGATGAACAAGAATCATATTTGAAGCAATTGTAATCCATGGGAACGTCTGTTGTGCAGCCATATAAACACTACAAAAAACCTCAAACATCACCTATACCTTTCCAAATCTTTCAGCACGCTTCATTTTCTTTGCCTGTTGAGATAAAAAATAGTTTTTCATCACTGTATTCATGTCTTAAAATCATTCGAACCACGAGTCATAAAAAGATAAGTACCTCAACGTCAGGTGCACCAGCTGAAGTTGCACTTGTCAAGATTCCAAACCTCTCCTTCCTCTTTTTTAACTTTTCATCCTCTTCAATCTGAAAAAAAAAGCAGTTTTGACCTGACAATGGTTAATTGCATACATATTTTTTTTTCCCAATACTGGATGACTTAGGCCTCAGTAAGCCAAAAGTAAATTTACAACTGCTCATCTTTTCACCAAACTATGTACCACTATGGTCAGTCTTAAGGTAAATCAAAACAAATATATAATATATAACGTTTGAAACATATGAACATCCGAACATGTTCAAACAACAAAAAATTCAATAAAGCTCATACTCAAAACACCACTACTTTTGTCACTATTTTCACAAGTTTATGCAATATCAAAAAATGTATTTTCATAAACTGAAATATATATCAAATGTGCAAAATGGACAATTTTATCCATTTAAAGTTTGAAAAGCTATGATTGTATAAAAATGACACCAAACTTGTGTGCACCAACTCTAATAGAACACAGTAACCTGAATTCTATTAGTATCCCAAACAATATATGCATTTATAGTTGGTCCACTGAAGAATGCGTCAGCTAAAACATGAATGGCGAATCACTTCATGCTGATGATTCATGCTTTATATAATTGACAAAAACCACACACACACACACACACAAAATAAATCAACAAATACAACAAAAAAATTAAAGGGCAAAAGAACTTGGTAAAGGAAGAAATTTTTTTTCCCAATCAGTCACCTTTTGCGAGATGGATGAAACATTCATGCCAAATCGTTCAGCTCTCTTCTTCAACTGGTCAACATTCACCTGTACAAAACAAAGAAAGTACTCTAAAACAGAAACAAAATGTCTATTTTATTCTATAAATGTATCATCACTGATTTTTTTTAACCAGCGTGATGTGGAAATAAAGGAAAAGCTCTGTAATTAAAAGTTTGTGTAATACTTACAGCAGCTTTACTGTTTGCAACAAGACCTGTTTGGGAAATAGGTGGGAAAAGAAAAAGGTTAAAAAACAACAACAACAACATGATGTTACAGCATGCAGCAAAAAGCACCATTAAAAGGCACCGTCTTATACAAACTACTTTAAAATAACAGTGATTTTACATGATTCCTGTGGTAATACAAGTGTGTTTTCATATTTTTTTTCAAGCGTCACAGTAAAAGATTGTCAGGATAACCATGTTAAATTCAAAATAGAAATCCTCCCTATAAATCATTATCATCATTGCATTCATATATCTTCCATACGTAGGACCTTAAATACATGCATGTACAGTAAGTGGCACAACAAGGGTGAAGGAGGTGGGGTTCGCGGCACCGCTTAATGGTTGGGCTGACACAACATACCTGGAGAAGGACTTGAAGCATCAGTAGGTAAACCAAACCTAAAGAAAAAAAACATACATTTCAATATCAATAGGAAGATTTATTTAAAGAATTGTTATTTAAAAAATTGTTTTGAAAGTAATTTCAGTTTCATGAAACATCTGTCCATCAAAGTGTAAGCAGAACACCCTGAAACAAGTCAGTGATTAAAAACCATCTATAGTTCACTATTGTCACATATACAGCCAAGCCCCTCGCTACTATTGCAAGGTGCAGATTGGTTAGAACTTTTGTCGGCCATTAGCTCAACGTGAGTCATTTTCTTTCTATTATGATCATATTAATTTCCCAAGAAACTATCTACCACACTGACTGATGAAAAACTAAAGTTACTATAAAGATATTTTACAGTGGCAGAAAAAATATATTCAAATAGGGAAGTCAGTTGCTCAATTGTGATTGATTACAAGACAGAGTAAATATTCTACTGTTCTATACAAAGAAACTCTACCTTGCTGCCCGTATTGCCTTCTTGCTCTCAGTTGTTGCTGGCACGTTGAAACGTTCAGCTCTCTTCTGTAGCCTCTGATTAATAAAAGACAGATGTAAATCATCCTGACATTTTAACTAAATTTTAAAAAAAGGGACTAGCGTTGCATAAAACCATAAAGAAATGCAGACCATATGGTAGGGATCACAAACTCAGGAGCAGAAAAAACAAGATTGGAGGTCTTATTTATTTATGTGATACACTAAAGATCTAATGAACAGCTTAAATGTCAGATTTGTACCACTGAAAATTTTGGAACCATCAAGAAAAAGGAAAATTCATTCCCTAACTTTCTATCCAAGTGGCCCCTAAGATACTTGAACATGACTGATGGAAGCAAGGACTGTGGCAACTACACAAACAGCATGAAAAACCGAATAAAAGGGCTACATTAATAAATAGATCAGGACTTCATATGCCACATGGAAAACAATCTGCAAATGACTTTAAGAAAAAAATATTCAATTAAAAAAAATCCTAATCAATTTGTTTATATTTGGCTTTATTTAATCATATTCTATTCAACATACAATTGTCTCACAACTAGGAGAACAACTGACTGAATTTACCAGTGGATTATGCACCAGTATGTCAAGAATAATATTTAATTCATGTGCAAAAAAACCCGTTCATACAAGACTTTATTGAGGACTATTATGATGAAAAGTTGCTGTTTAGCACACACATTGAATTGGTTTACATAAAATCCCATACAAGACTTGTGCTCCAATTATCATCATGCTCATTAATAGGAGGAGAAAATATGTCATACGTACTTCACCAGTTGTCAATGGAGGAGCTATCTTCACCACCTTTTTCTCTGCAGGTCTAAAAAGAAAAATTAATTAACCAAATGACTAAAAAAAGGATTTATTTTCATGTAAACATTGTAGTGCAACCTTTTAACTAAATTCACACTACCAATATCTAAAAATGATAAGAGATTTCCTTTTTCTCCCCTTTCTTTTGATCTTTCTGTCAGGTATCTGTGCCAAGCATAGGACATCAACTGGAACAACTGTGTTTTTAATAAGCATATCTAGAAAAGTCCCACTCAACAATGAACAGTCATTTGTTGCTACTTGGCTGTGAGGATAAGGATATACATATATTTGGAATTTAAAAGATCATAAATAAATAGAACAGCTTTAGTTTCATTGAGAGCCTTTTGGACATTTTGTACCATCCATTACTGTCATCTTAACCTTTTTTTTTAAAAACAGCAACCAACTTATGTTCAACAATGACAGAAAACTACTACACAAAAATATAAAGACAATGAAGATAATCTTACAGCTCACTCTCAGTTGTGTCAGTATGGTTGTCCACTTTTATGTTTTCGGAACTCTCAACTTTAGTGAAGTCCTGAAAGAAAAGAAAATTAAAGTTCAATTATTCGTAAAATAAACAGAAGATAGGTCGAGAGAGGCAAGTAAAGGCATTATTGAAAATAAAAAACGCTACCACTGCATCCTCTGCAAGCACATCATCAACGTCCACATCTTCCTCTGTTGATAGAAACACAGGACAAAATATAATATAGCAGATATAAAGGAGGACAGGGGCATTTAAAAGTTTTATCTCATAATACACAGAAGCCGGTAAAATATCTAATTCAAACAATAACAATTAACAACACATTAAGCATGTAAAAACAGCTCATCACAGAGCTGAAGCATGATTCAGCCAAATCAGTTGTATATCCACTGGGTTATGCCTTAAATACAGTAGAACCTCTACAAACGAATTTAATTCGTTCTGGGACTTACTTCGTACGTTAAAATATTTGTATGTTGGTTCAAATATTCCCTTTAGAATACACTGTAATTTGTATAATTAATTCCACAGCCCAAAAACCTACGATAACTCCTTAATAAATACTGAAGATAATTACGCATAGCAATAAAACAAATGCATTATATAAGAGATATGTAAAAAAAGATTAAATGATAAATAAATAATCAATTAAAAGGGCTTTTTATTGGCACTTATTGGCGAACGGAGGAGCCGGTCGGTGTGGAGGTAGAAGTGGTGACTGAGATACAGGACATAACATCACTTCGGATGTTGGAAAATTGGTATGTTTAGTCAAGTCTAAGTAGAGGTTTTACAGTACAATAAAATCTTTTGCTAACGTTTTACCAAAGGCATCTGAGTTGTTAAACTTTTTATGTAAATCCAGCCATCTTTTATAAAACCCTTTTCAAGAGTCTTTTATGAAGGTCATTTACATTTCTGCATTTAGAAGACGCTTTTATCCAAAGCAACTTACAAAAAGAGGCTTTAATATTCAACTACAATACCAGGGTTCACTATGCTAGAAGAGGGTTTAACAATAAGGAAATCACATTCATCTATAACATATATTACACAAGTACCATATATTGAATGCTATATGCTATAAGGAAATAAGTGCATTTAGAGCTTCAGGACAAGAGATACTGTGGGAATAGCTGGGTCTTCAAGGATTTTTTGAAGAAGGAAAGAACATCTGATGCTCTGATGGTGCTTGTAAGGTCGTTCCACCAGCATGGAACCACAAATGAGAGTAGTCTAAATTGACCTAAAATGGCGGTGTTAGCTGGCGCTCCTTGGAGGAACGAAGTGAGCGAGCTGTGACAATGTCAATGTCTAAGCTTGGTAGACTACTGGCTTTTCATTCTTTGGTGAATATTTCTAAAACAAGATTATACATCAGAACAAAAATAGTCTGGTTCTGCCTCTTGAGTTCCTAATTATCCTCTTTAAGTGCTAGTTGGCTTAGCCCAGAAACAACCCACAAATTCTCACTTCCCTCTGCTCTTTTATAAGTATAATAAAAATCTTTCAATTTCAATCTAATCATTAAAATTGAAAATCGATACCAAAACAGTCGAAGTTGAATAATTGATAAGATATCTCAGAACTGAATGATTTTTTTTGGACACCCTAAAATGTACATCTCTTCAAATGGAAAACATTGAGCTTCATAGTATTAGTTTAAATTGTCTTTGAGTTTACCACATTAAACTGGACAGATTACCTGAAAGTCAAAACTTCTGATGAAAGCAATTTGACAAGTGTTTGTATTTATATAGTCATCACATATTTAACCAGTGCTTAAATTCCTTTAACTTACCATGCTCGTCCAGGTAGGCTTGGAGTCGGGCGATGAGCTCTCCTTTGTTTCCCTTAGTTTCTAGACCTCGGGCTTCACACTCCTGCCTCAATTCAGCAAGCTGGAATACAACAATAAACAGAAGCACTGCTTTAAATTTAGCAAGTAGACATTGTGAAATTATTTAAAGTAGTTGCTTAAGTTAAAGGGGCTGATTGGAATATAAAATTATTTCTGAAATCCAATATTGCTTTAGACTTTCAATAGATGATGAATCAAAATAGTCTAAGATCCACAATTTAGTTACCTGCGTTATGTAGTTTTAGGTTCAATTGCAAAGAAAATGTACAATGATTTTAGCCATAAACCTAAAAAGCTATTTAGAAGTCGATTTATTTAATTTTAGAGGGCTTTTGGATGCAAATTCAGTGAGTCACAGGATTTTATCGTGCTAACGCTCGAGTGTTTAGCGACTACAAGAGATTATTGTGAATTAATACATTTAAGAGAGCAGTTTTGAGATACCTTCATATTCATGATTTGTTTATGTTTTAAGAAAAACACTCGTATTTGCCAGATTTTATCTTGAACTTAACTTCACTTATGTGATTTAACGTTAGCTTAAATTAGTAGCTTTTCAATGGACACATGCCGGTTTTCAGCTTTCACAACCGGGTGCTATGTTTTCTTATTTAAACCCTTTAGGCACCCTTTGCTTCGCCAAGCAGTTCTAAAATAGATACCAGGTAAAAACAGTGTCCACCAGTAAACTGCAAAACAAAATTAAAGTTAATATTTAATGCGAAGACCAACCTTCAATTTTTGCAGTTCTACAACCTCCGCCATCTTTCTTTGTTGATGTGTTACTTCCCCCAATCAAACAGGAGTAGTTCTCCTTCTGAACGCCGAAACTAGCTCCTCTCGTTTTATCACAGCGCCGCCTATTGGTTTGGCTGACATTCTGCTTGTTGCTGTGCCGTTGAATTTATTGGCGGTTGGAAAAAACGTTTGGTTTGCAATAGCGTCACCTACTGGTGTGGCTAAATTGTCAATTTGATCCTATGAATGTCTATTTTTTCCATAAATGTATCACCACTGATGAAATTCTGTTTCCTAACTTTGTCCTCCTAAATACATAATCAAAATAGTAATGCCTTTACTGAATCTCCCTGTAGTATATTTGTTAAATGAAAATAGTTTATTTTGCATAACTTCCTCCATCATTAAACTTCTTTCTTTTTCATATATCTAACAAAGTAAAATCACATGTTCAATTGTTTCAAATTCTTCACAATATTGACATGTTCCTGTATCATGTTTACTTGTTATGAATAATGTTTATTTGAGTACAGTGTGATAAAATCTCAATCTTGATTTTCAGTCCTATTTCTCCTTCCCTTTCTCATCTCTCCTACTCCCTTTTGAATCCTATAATACCATTTTCCTTTCTTCCCTTTATTAAATTCTTTATTCCAATTTTCCTATGGTCTGGACATTTTTGAAAAGCGCTGTGAGATAACTGGAGAGAACCCATGCAGACACAAGGAGAACATCCAAACTCCACACAGAAAGATCCTGGGTCCCGCGGGACTCGAACCCAGAACCCTCTTGCTGTGAGGCAATGGTGCCACACCACCATGCTCCCCTGAATTGGCCCTATAAACAGCACAGACCAAAAGTTTGGAAACACCTTCTCATTCAAAGAGTTTTCTTTATTTTCATGACTATGAAAATTTTAGATTCACACTGAATGCATCAAAACTATTAATTAACACATGTGGAATTATATACTTAACAAAAAAGTGTGAAACAACTGAAAATATGTATTTTATTCTAGGTTCTTCAAAGTAGCCACCTTTTGCTCTGATTACTGCTGATTACTGCACACTTTTGGCATTCTCTTGATGAGCTTCAAGAGGTATTCATCTGAAATGGTCTTACAACAGTCTTGAAGGAGATGATCTCCTTTGATTTTGGCAAAGGAGAAAAACCCATGCACTTGTTGGCCCCTTTGCCTTCACTCTGCAGTCCAGCTCACCCCAAACCATCTCGATTGGGTGCAGGTCCGTTGATTGTGTAGGCCAGGTCATCTGGCGCAGCACCCTATTCCTCTCCTTCTTGGTTTAATAGTCCTTAAAAGGCCTGGAGGTGTGTGTGGGGTTATTGTCCAGTTGAAAAATAAATGATGGCTTTTTTCCATATAGCTCCGTCATCATTTTCTTCTTCAGCTTTGCAAATCACCATTAAATTTCCCTCTTTCAACATTTTCACCTTTTCTGCATCTGCAATATTCTTTTTTTATTTCTCTAGACAACATGAGCGGGCATATGTCCATTTGTTCTTTCTCACCCATAAACTTTGGTATTAATTTATATTCCTCAATCTCTTTCTTATGTCTGATCACTCTCTCTTTCACCGAACTGCTACTATCTAATTATTATTATTTTTTTCAAACACTTGTCAGACAGTCTTCCATGTTACCTTTGGCACGCCTTCTATCCCAGCCGTCATTGGGCTGGGCCAGAGTCATTTTTGACAGTAGAAACAGGAGCCCATAGAGTCCACACACACTCACACTCCTGTGGGAAATCTGGACTCAACAGTTAACCTCACATGCTTTTTTGGGCCGGTACCCTCTTGCTGTGAAGGGAAACCACCACGCTGCCGTCATGAGGGGGCTAACCATATTATAGGTAGTAGTTAAGTTGATGCTGAAGATACATAAGCCACAAATATGAATTCTGGGTTTGAAACATCTATGGCATATTGATGTTACCCATATGCTCATGAGCTATGAGCAATAATCACATTTAAATAAACAATGTGTAGTTTGTTTTACAAAAAGTTATTACAAAAAGGTTTTGTGATGACATGATTATTTTGGAGTTGTTGTCACCAACACCTCACAGAAAGAGTCCCTTCGGTGTGGATTTTGGATGTTTTTCCCTGTGTATACATGATTTTATTTCTGGGCTTCTCTCACTTCCTCCCACTGTCTGAAAACATTAGTATTAAGTTGATCTGCGATTTCATATTGACCTTAGAGTGTGTGAGTTTGCATTGTTGTCTGTCTTGGTACTGTGATGGTAGCTCTGGTGGACTGGTGAATTGTCTGGGGTGTAGCCTATCTCTTGCCCACTAATAGCCGGGATGGACTTGAGTCCTTCCTTGACCATGCCTAGAATAAGTGAATATAGAAATTTGATTGATGGACTCTTCTCTTTTTTTCTCAAAAGATTCATAATATCTTTATCGTGGTAGTTCCTGAAACTGTAGGGTTAATCTGATATTCCTTTTGCAGACGTCAGGCACCTTTCACAAGTAAAACCAATAGAATAGGGGACAGGCAGAACGTATCAGGGTGAGACAATCAAACCAAATGGGGAGACACAAGAAGAAGGGTAAGTCAAGTGAAATAAGAGGGAAGTATATAAAAACAAAACAGGTTGGATTTTCATTTTTTATAGAATTTGACTGGATCTCTATTTATCTGTTTAAAGAAGAAGAAGGACGAAACCAAGATGGAAGCATAAACTTTTTTTTTCAATGAGCAACATGTTATTACTCATCTTGAGCAATCTATGTGAAAAAGTGCTTTTTTAACTTACATGTACAAACAAATGTGTATATATGTACAGTCATGTATAGACATTTTCTGGCCATTTCGCAATCATCAGTACCTCATACAATGTTAGATTTTCAGTTATATAACAGATAATTGATAAGGATTGAAATATATGTCACAGAACGGTGGATAATTTGTCTTGATTTTTTTTTGCAACACTTCTGGATTCTTTATGGACTCAATAGTTACATTAGATGCAGTCACGTCTATAGGTTACACACTTTAAAGAAGGTAATCGTAGTTTTTTTGGCATTCTCTTAATTAAGGCAATTTTGGGCAAAGAACAGTCTCAATTTCAGTTTTTTTAAAAACTTTAATTTACTTCTAGCAGACAGTATCAATTCAACATATTTCAACTTTTTGTTTCTGATTTGCTTTTATATATGAGTTTTTTCATCTGAGGCAAGTGCTTGTGTATTTATGTTGTGGCTTTTGTATCTATGTTGCGGCTTTTGTATTTTTGTTGCTACTTTTTTATTTGTGCTGACACCTCTAGGCCACCATGTAGGCCTGCACACTAAATAAATGTTAGAATGGAAATCATTTACCACGCTGCAATGTCTTTCTTTCTTTTGATTATACATAACAAAATGTCTGGTTTCAAAGATTCCAAATGATGCATTGCTATAAAATGTCAATGGATTTTTCTGCTTTAACCCAAGAAATAAGGGAGATAAAACCATACATTTTAAATCTGAATTAAAGAATGAAAAAAAGAGAACAAAAATGATTTGCTTGAATTACCTTTTATGCACAATTTGATGAGTGATGATGAATGAAACATATGTAACAGATAGACGTGGCATTAAAGGGGTAATTATTATATTCCAGAAAATGGGAAGTTGATATTGCCTTTGGATTATTAACACAATTTATTCACAAAGTACATTTCCGAACAGCATTTGTTAATCTAAAACTGTATATCTCTGCTCTCCAACAGTAATTCCCTTCCTTTGTGGTTGGGTCTGCTTCTGATGAATGACATATCTTGATTCAGTGCAGTCATAAGATCACGGGTGTCCAGCTTAGCCATGTGCCGTGCCCCTATCCTTTAAGTACTAAAATTCCTTAATCATATTGTGCTCTGTAGTGGGAGAAATATGCAAATCCAATCCAATCCCTTTTCTTTTCTTTCCTTTTCTTTTCTTTTCTTTTCTTGTCTTTCCTTTTTTTCACGTTTCAGTGAATTTCCACCTTTGTTGGGGCAAATATTCTCCGTGTATTTGTGCTCCTTGATACACAAAAAGGAAAACTGAAAAACCTTTTGTAGATGTTCTTTTTTCAGTCAAATTGTGTTTAAAATGTTAATTCATTTTGTATCCCTCATATTATGAATTTTACAAAACCAACTAATTTTAAACTTAGCTGTTTGAATGTATAATGAACTTAAATTACAGCATACTTTCAGCATTGAAATAAGTATGAAACAACTGTGTTTTTAATGTTTAACTTCAAATACATTTTCTAAAATGTTACAATTTTTCTGATTTGGATTGGTCACGAACCCGCTTTCTCCCAGTCTCACTAGAGTTAATGTGCCCCTAAAACTGAACAGGATAACATTTCATAGAAGCTAGGTATATCAGTATGCATCTCAGTATGTATTAGAAAAGGGGCCCGGAAGGAGTTGGAGTCTATGATCAACATAACAACAAATGAAACATGTTTAAGCAGAATCAGTTGTAAATACAGCACTGTTAAAGAAGATGTTTAAACTTGCATTTTCAGTTTGACATATGATATGCAGACAAAGACGCTTTTAACAGAGTCACTTTGTCGGGTTGGAGGACAAAGCCGGATAAATTTAGAGTCACAAGTGTTTCAGTAATCCTAATTAACATTGCATTCTTTCCATTTTTTCTGCAGATATGTGTGAGCTATTGTTTGACTAAATACTTGTGGAACATTTCTTAACATTTCAGTTATTATTTCTTATCATTCCATTTAACTTAAATACATTAGAACATATAGTAGGCTTTTAGTGATGTTGCTTACAATATGAACAATTTAGAAAAGTTCCCCAAGATGAAAATGTGCTTAAAAATAGCATATAGAAAATATAAAATAGCTTAAAACATGTCTTGATGTCGCTAACTCTCTTCAAAGCAAACCCTGTGGTTCCAGGAAAGATTTTGACGATATCTACCATAAATATTGTGAGGTACTGATCTCTTACAGATCCCACCATTTTAAAACTTGAATCTTGAAACTGCTTTTAACCCTATAATGCCATATGTTTCATATTTGATACATATGGTTTCTGAAAAGGTTTGCATCAAATACCTTTGCATCATTTACTGGTTATAACCCTGTTGTAGACAATCAGATATACTTGGTAACAATGGGCAGAAGACATCATAACAATAGCTTTGACTTATCGCAAAGTATACATATAAACAATTAATTCTGCTTATGTTTTTTCATATTTTGTAAAGGGCCAAATAGAGACTTCTGTTTATTCCCCTCTTTAAAATTTGTAATTAAAAAAGAATGATTTTTATTTTTTTTCTTGGATTAGGCTTACTTCATCAGACTGATCTGTATCTTCTGGATTATATTCATCATATTCCTCCTCCGAAATATGCTCATCTTCATCCCTTTACCTGTGTCCTCGCTGTATTTTCACCAAAAATATAATCCAGAGCTCAACTCAGTGAAAATCGTTCATGCTTTCATAATTTTTTCATGCTGCAAATTGAAGCAGTGCCCTCTGTAAAACACTAACTCTGATCTTGTGCAGGTAAATGGAATAACAAGGCAAAATGAGAATTGTCTAAAGCTCACATGATTTGGACAGGAGCTTGCTGTCATTGTGTGGGCTGACAGAAGATTTCTGATTTAAGTTATGGCACTACTTGTTGCTTTATAATCTCATTTCTAGAACACTGATTTCAGAATTTCAACGAGAGCATTCCATAATTCAATTTCCACACATATTTTGATGGAGAATTAAAAAAAAACCTGGCCTTTAGACTTTTTACTCAACAGTTAAGAAGGTGTTATTTGTCATTGGTCCAACAAATACTTGAAATACTGATATGTCTGACAACAATGTATATTTCCATTGTGCCACATAAACAATCTTAGAGGACACACAGCTTGAGTCTTGCACACAAACACTTTAATTTCTTTTAATGTATGTGTTGACAAAGATATCGACCGGCAACCTGTCCAAGGAATACTCTATTTCTCACCCGCTGTTGACAAAGATTTCCCACACTGATCAACTGTCTACTAGGTTCCATCCGCACTGTTTTTGGATTTAGATCATAGCTGTAATTTTTAGGGTTTTGCTATGGCATTCTTACGTTCTTAAATTGTCCACTGTTATTATAAATGTTGCTTTCTATTTACTGCTGTGCAAGAATAAGACAAATCCTTTATCTTATTTTTTTATAATTTTTTTATATATTTTTTTAAATTTTTAGAAAGTTTTAGAAAATTTTAGAAATTTTTAGACATATTTTGAATTTTTTAGAAAATCTTTATAAATTAATTTAGTGGACTTTTGTAATCCATTGTATTTGCTTGTTTTAAGTTGTTTTTTTGTACTTTTCCTGCAATAGATTGCTGGACATGAAATTTAAAATTAAAATGCAAAATCATTGAGCTGCTTTAATACTCATTTCCATTGCAAACATTCAGACAGGATTTTCATTATCATCGTCATGTTCTGTAGTCCAATAAGGATGACATTGGCTGCTTCCATCTGACAGAAAATATTTGTGTCTTGTGATCAGGGGTTTTCCTGCTGGTGTTCAAACAAAACTTTTGAATTCAGTTGTGATATCTGACAAGATTGTTGTCTCCAGTATGACTGTAATCCCTATAACACGCCTGTACTGTCTTTGAATCTTAGTGGAGGAGTGGTCAGCAGAAGGGCGGTGTTTCTGCGTAAAAAATGTGACTGAGTTTATAAAGCCAGTTTTCTGTGTCCTACTGCTCACTAAAAATACAGTTCCTATGCAAGTAGTCCACTGACAATGGGGGCGACTTTTGTACTGTTGGTGTTTTTGACAGTAGCTTCACAAACTGTGGCAAGTGAGTAAAGAAAATGTATTTTCTTTGTAAATTGTGTATACTAATTTGAAGCAACGGCTTTATTCTTAGTTATGTTATGTATGCTTTTCTATAAAAGTATGACATTTAGATTCTATTGATAGAAGTGCGAACAGAAAAATCCTAGACAAAAATATACTGTTCTTACTTCAATGTAAGGGCAGCTTGATCAATCGGTTGTGTAAAAGCTCAGCTACAAGGAAATATCAAATATCATTACCTTTTTTTTGTCTTAAGAGGAAAGACCAGATATGAGTGAGAAAAATAAGTAAAATCTACACATTTGGATAATGTGATCTTGCTCTGTATCAAATAAGAATTGAATCAGTGAAATGTGTAGAATGTGTAGATATCTAATTAAATCTAGTAGACTTTTTAAATGAAGAATGAAAATCCTGTAAACCTTTCTGAATTGTAATATGTTCTATTGTATACTGTTATGTCTGACATGTAAAGGTAAAGATACAACAGTACAATACAACATACATATCTAATATATGTATTTGAAGTGAAATTACACAAGGAATGCAAAGGCTTAGGGTCAAACCTGAACAGGGACTTGAACCCTGGACGCTTGGATTAAAAGTCTGATGCTCTACAGCCTGAGCTACCCAGGGCTCTTTTCAAAAGTAATTATGCAAAATGATCGTGTATTGCGTGTTTTATTTTTAGTTTCGTGGAAGCTTGTTTTAGTTCAAACTTTTTTGTTTTGTTTTCTAGAATTCAACATGAAAGTCTATATGAAATGAAAGAAGACTTTTAGATGAATTAGAGGGAATCTGCAGATTCTGTTAAGACTCTAAGGAAATTTAGCAAATTTCATAGCAAGTAATGGATGATATGATGCAATTATTCTGAAGTTACATTTTTTACTTGGTTAATATTTTCCTCCTGAATTTTGGAAGGACCTTCTGCTAGGGATATTTCCTTAACTATGACGTCTTTACTTATGATGAAATTGTATTAAATTGTGGGCTAAGAACACACACAGAAAATAACATGTAGTGAACATCAAGTCTACGAGTACACTACTGACTGAAGATCTTATTTGAATTGAATGATTGCGAGCAATACGATTTGAATGGAAATATCCTGATTGTGTTCATAGTTATCAGTCCCAAAATTTAATCTAATCTGAACCCTGTGACATTGCTGATCCCCTATAAATTCTTGCTTACACTCAGCTTAACATCACATGAATAGGATTGGTAACAGAGGTATTAAAATGCTTCATTCAAACAATGATTGGCAGCCTCAGTCCTGGAACTAAATGGTCAGAACAATTTGGGACCACACCAAATACAAACAGGTATGGCTTATTTCTCTGGAGTATTCAGCTTGTTCTTATTATTTTAGAGCCCAAACATGGCTTCACTCGATATCCATCATGGAACACTAGGATGTACCCAATTTGGAAAGATGATGACCTGCGGTACAAGGATTCCTGGAAGGGTGAAAATATATACTTTTCTGTATTTAAAGTTTTGATTACAATAAGCAACATACAGTGTTTGAAAAATAGAAAGACCTGTTCAAATATGTCTCTCTCTGTCTGCTATTGAAGGTGGAAGAGTAAACTTCAACGTTGGAAATGATTCCCCAACTCTGACAGGAGCCAAAATCACATTCACCATAGATTTAGAGTTCCCTCAAAACCAAAAGGTCCAGCCGGATGGAAATGTAATTTGGGCCAAAAACTGCACAGTAAACGGTAATATACACACATTTGACCACCTGAAGAAAAAATGTGTTTAGCTTTTTTTACACAAGAGTTGTGGCCTGTTAAACACATAAAGCCTCTTAAGCGCAACCCTGTCTGTGGAATTACAATCACCTGAAGGGATTTGATTAGTCTCCAAGTAGGTGTTGGAGCACACTGGGATAAATATGGGCATATGTATTTAAGATTCCTGAGTTGGAAACAATTAATACATTTAGAATTGAACCCCTTGACACAAATTGATGCAAATCCACATTCATACATAATGCATCCAAAATAGAGAATAATGACTGTCCAAAAAACCCACCATTAAGGAGTTGATGTAATCCTTGCATTGCTGCATCAAAAGCTGGTTAAATATCTGTTAAATGTGGAGGCAGTAGTTTAGTAGTCTGTAAATGCCATATGAATGTTAAGATATAATCTGTCATTTTCCGGCTGTTCAAAGACTGACTGCTTGCCACTTCATAATGATGACAAAGTCATACTTTGATAGTCTTTGATGTGATAATGTCATGTGGGTGGGATTTGACGAAGGACTCAGGTGCGGAGATGACGGAAGACAAGGTTTATTGTAACAAAAAACTCATGAAGAGTGAATGTCCAGACAAAGTACAAAACAAGACTGTGGAAAACTGAGCAAAAGTATCAACGCAATAAGTAAACAAGACTATGGCAAAGTAACAAAGTAAAGATTAACAAAACTGTGACAAAGCTGTGGCAAAACTGTGACTATGACAAAAGCAAACCTGGCGTGACGTGGGGGTGACAAAAGACAGACGACGAACGACGAAAGACGAAACGGACAAGAATGCACTCGCACAAGACAAGGGGAAACGAGGACTATTTAAACACATGAGGGAGGGGAACCCCAGGTGTACACAATAGGTAATCATGACATGACGAGACACCAGACGTGACAGATAATGTCTTGTAACAACACAATTATCTGGCACACATGCGTAATCTGTTTCTGCAAGTGACTTGTTAACATTGCTTAATTGGCTTTCCAAGCTAACTAAAGTAATACAAAGAATAAGAAATGATAATGAAATTATATATTGCTTTTACACATTAGTCTGGGTCCTTGTGCAAATTCATAGCAGCAACAAAGACATTTCTGATTTTGAGTGGAATAGTTCTGATGATGAGTTAAGATTTGGTATGAACTTCCATATTAACCTTAGAATTGATTGGAAATATTGACAATAATACCATCATCCCTCAAAAGTTCATTTATGCGTATATAAAAAAGACCACCCGCCTCTTGTAATTAATAAGGAAAACAGTAAATATTATACTTCACAGCGCACCACAAATGTAGTTATTAACATGCTATAGACATTAGTGTTTAGTTCATGTCATTGCAGTTTTTAAGTATATTTTCTTACAGGAACAAAGTATTATGAATCTGAGGCAGTATTCCCACACAACACAAACTGGGAAGCTGTTTTCCCTGATGGAACACCAATAACAAAAGATAGGAAGCCAGCCTATGTATTTGTGTGGAAAACTTGGGGTGAGTACTCTTAAAATCACAGTGATCTTTGTTGATATATATGATTTGACAAGTAAAATATTTGATGTCATAGGATTACTCGATTTACTAGTTTACTAGTGTTTACTAGTGTATTTTCCATATTAATTCACTGTGCTTTGGATGTTTTTTGACAGATAAGTACTGGCAAGTTGCAGATGGGCCAACCTCTTCACTGACCATTGATACAGATGACATTCCCCTGGGGTCATACACTATGGATATTGTAATTTATCACTACCGAAGCAAAGAAAGGTTTATTCCTCTGGGATATGCCTCCACTCAGTTTTCCATCACCGGTTAGTTTAAACATAAAGAAGCTTTTAGAAAGGCTACACCATATTAAACTATTCACTTCACTTTACTTGCCCTGGAGATAAAGATGTGTATCCAGTCTTCCTTTACTCAGATAAAACTGTTAAATCCTTCAACACTACTGAGCTGATAAAAAAATAATATCAGCATACATATTCTTACCAAGCCTTCAGGGTTCATCTGACTTGACCACATACGATAAAAGGAGTCAGGACTCAATGCTTGTGGCTTGTGGGTCAGCGATAGTCATCAGCAGAAGCCCTCTTATTTACCTTTGTAACTCCCATAATCCCTAATAATAACTGCCTGCAATATGGCAACCCTGGAGGAACATTGAACGTACTAGATTTATGATCACAATAGACATGATTACTCACCACTATTCAGTCTGTTACAATGTGAAAGTGTCTATTATGTAACGCATAATTTAATTACTTGATGTCCTCAGATCAAATCCCCTTCTCTGTCTCCCTGGACCAAGTGAATGATGTCATAGCAGGAGACATGCGCTTTGTTCAAAACAAAGCAATTGCCTTCACCATTACTCTGCATGACCCAAGCAAGTACCTCAGTAATGCAGATATCACTTTCAACTGGGACTTTGGGGATGAAAGTGGAGCTCTAATATCCAGAGAGTTGACTGTGACTCACACCTACACCAGTCCTGGCTCATACAAACCTCAGGTGGTGATTCAAGCAGTCATCCCAGACAAAGCCTGCAACCCACCATCTTCTAGCGCTACCCCAGCCCCTATTAGACCAAATGATCATACCACCACATGTAAGTTACAAACGCTACTATTCTGCACAACAGGATTTATACTGAAGACCATAAAATACTTTATGTGAATTATTGGCTATGCAGTTAAGTGTTTATGTGAGAACAGGGAAATAATTTCTCTGGTGCATGGTTATGTATGTAAATATAGATTAAAAACCTTAACAAGATGTGGCATACAAGTAGTACAATGAATATAAAATAATCTTGAATAATGTTTAACTACTACATAATGACAATTTTGGAAAACTTACAAGCTGACTGTCTCATAACTAAGAGCTACTTAAATACACATCTGACAAAGTGAAATTTCAGAGCAACAAATTCTTATCAAGTATAACTAATGTGAATTTACTTTTAAAATTCTGAACAAGGCACTCCTACCACATGGAACTCAAGGTTAAAATTTGTTAACTCATTGAATTGACATCAAACATACTCTACACATTGTTTAGTCTCTTCTGTTCCTACTCCAAATTTGTAAAAGGAATTAAAAGAGAATAAAAATTCTCTCACATATTTATAATTCAGATATGTGCCAAGAGTATTTGAAAAGGGTCACGTGTGTCGCCAAACCATTTGTAACAGCACACATGTGTCTCTGTCCATCTCTTTGCTCTTCCTGATGAAAAATGTCCTCCACTACACCCCATTGTTTGCACTCCAAAAGACGAAAGTAAATAGTTGGTAGAATAAAAAAAAGGCTTTCCTTGAGGCAATACTTAGGTAAATCTTCAGCATAAGCCTTGAAACATAGAGACACATGAGAAAAGCAGCACACTGTCCAGATCTGAGACACTAAGATAGATCAATTCAGATCATTTTAGGGTAAATTGTCAACAAGCTACTCTGGATTTTCTGGCAGAAAGTAGTGTCTATAGTCTATGTTTAATGATGCAAGGTTGTCTTTAAAACATATAAAATCATTCACTTAACATGCAAATATATTTATCTCATGTTGTGCCTTCTTTTGTTGTATATGTTGATAGGCATTTTAATGAATTATTCTTCCCTTCGTGAAGGGACAGTCCCAACGTTGCTTTCTGCTGTACCCATAATCATCACAAACAAACCAACTGGAATGAATGCCAACATGGTTCCCTCAGACACAGAGGAGGACAACACTGAGGGTGAAGCCTCCACTGCGTCTGCGACTCAGTCAACCCAGGAAACACCCACACTGGTTAAGACTCCATCCCTAATCAACCAGTTGCCAAACGCTGATGTGAAAGGGAAAAAACTGGCAACAGAAACAGGTAATCTATATGTTCAAAAGAGGTAACATTGCCCTAATGTAACCATATCTTACGTTAAAATGAAACACGGAGAACAGAAAAAATACGTTATATCCAGATAAAGAATATTAGCATCAACTTACAGTCATAAAATGTAATGTAGGCATGAAAAAAAACTAAAGTATGCAACATAATACTGAACGGCAAATGCAAATATGTATCAAGTCAGTTACCAAGGCTGTACATCTTGTGGATAGAAAGCTTTTTACCCAAACTGGCGATATTGTCTAATGATGAAAAGAGCGTCTTGGTTATCTTTTCAATCTTACCATGTCATAAATGGTATGGGCAGAGTCAGAGGATCTGAAGGAATACGAGACGTAGTCAAGTTAGATTAAAACTTACCTGTGGGAGGGCACCAAAGATCAATTTACCTCTTAAGTGTTGCATGGAGGCCTGGGACAACAATTATGGCATAGTAAAGTAAGTACTGTGTCCGCATGTTTGGCACAACGTCTAACTTATTTAAGGCACATGATCATATACAGTATTTGTGGGGTTATATCAGTGCGTTCTGTGGTTGGTGTAGTTATCCTGGCTTCTTCAGGCCATGACATACTGTACATTGTGCACCCAAGTAGTTTGCAGCTGAGTGAGAAGCAGTAAGGACTGAAGTCAGCCCCTGAAGATAAAAAAAAGGAGTGTTCCCATCGGACCTGAGCTTTATGTCAACCTCCGGTGTAGAAGTTGAATACTTTCATTCACTGTCAGATCTTTGCAGTGGCACTGCCTCACGAACACCTTTTAGCTTGGCTTACTTGAGTACGTGGTTTCTGAGTTTTCTTGAGCTCCCTTTCTAGGTTTGGTTTTGGTTTCAGGATTGCTATTTATATTCCAGGTTTTTGGTTTTGTCTCATTTTTAGATGTTTTTTATTTTTTATCTGGCCCTACTGTACCTTTTGTTAGTTTTATAGTTTTATAAAACCTTAGTTCTTAAAAAGTTTTGTGGTTGTTCCTGTGTTTTTTCCCCTGGCCTGTGCTTGGATCAACTACCCTTTGCAAGATGTAACCTTTCTGTCAATTCATCTATTTAAAATGCTATGTATTGGGTTCAGAAATCTTCTAATAATTCTCATGTTTCGACGCTCACTTGAATAATTCAGTCACATTTTTTACAAACCCTCGTTTAGTCCAAACAAATGGTAAAATGGGTATATTAGGTCAAAATTAGACTTAAAATAATTGCATCTAGAATGCATTTAACAGTATATGTGTAGATGGTTTTAGTATGTACTTGGGAATTGTTAACAATACACTATTGCTCTTTTGTCCTCTTTTTAGATACAAAGAGATCAGTGACATTAAGAGGTAGAACTAAAGTTGTTGCTAAGAGGGAGGCCGACGAAAAGCCACGTGATGATGGCTGTGTGATATATAGATACAGTTCCTTCTGCACGGCCATTGAAATTTTGGGTAGGTAATTTTTTATCAGTGCTGTTTTAACGTCAACAAAATTAGAGTGACATTTTTTCAGTGACAGTAGTGATTCCCCACGTTTTTCTTTTCAGAGGACATTCAAAAACTAAATATTCAACAAATGGAGAGCACTATGAAGTCAATGTCTGGAAAGCACGTCAATGTTTTGGACATTACTGTTACTTGCCAGGGAGGGTAAGTACTCCTGCATTATCCACTTTAGAACAAATATAGTTGCACGGATTAAATTCAATTAAGCTTGTATTTTCTCTTGGGTTTCTTTTGAATACAGTTTTCCAAGAGAGGTATGTAGTGTTATTCTGGATGAAGACTGCTTGAAGCCTATTCACATAACATGTAATATTGTTGAGCCCGCCAAAGACTGCCAGCTGATGCTACGTCACTTTTTCAATGACTCTGGGGTCTACTGCATCAATATTTCGATGTCAAATGATGTCAGTTTATCTGTCACCAGTGCCAAAGTCAACATTGACATGGGTAAGGTACCGTCACCACAGTACACCAGTTGATATGTCTACTTTGCTCTGACAGTGAGATCTTTGTTTCAGGCTCAGGTCTGCCCTCTCCTGGCCCCTTTGTCATGCTGCTGGGTACCGTTGTCCTCATTCTGGCATTGGGGATAGTTATTTACTCTTACAAGTAAGAACTGCAGCTGATCAACTTAAAGATGTTTGATTTTCCCTGCTATCATGTATGAAGTGAGCTGAATGCACTGATTTCCACTTATCTCCACAATTTCCGCAACTATTTATTAACTTGAACTAATTCAACAAATGCAAATTGTTTTGGATCAAGAGCTGACTGGACACTTTTAACATGTTGTGGACACATTGCTCAGCATAGGTAGCTGGCACAGTTAAACAATGAGTCTGAAATGAAAGATCAGCGACATCAAAGTGAATAGATACATGTGAGACCTCCAAAATGTTGAATATATATATTTATATTATTTGCATATAATTCCAAAGTTGGATGGATGGATTTTGAAGATGTTTATTAACCTGATTTGATAAAAAGTCCAATCCAGCCAATGTCGACAAATGTTAAAAGGATATTTGTTGGTGGGAGAAATCTGCTTGAAAGTTGTTTATTTTTGTCCATTCAGTATTGGCAATTGAAACATGACCTCTCAGGTTTATCAGGTACCTGGGCATAGAACTGCTGCCTATTCTTGTCAGAAATAAACTACAAGCTATTCAGTGAGCAGAAACATCTAAAAGTCAAGATCAACACTTGAGTCCATTAGTAATCCATCCACATCGCAATATCACTTGTTTGATACTTTAAGAAATCATGATAGATATTCAAACATATTCTCAATATCTTTGGTTCTCTCAACAGGCGTTTTAAGTCCTACATTCCCTTGAAGGAAAACATTACTGGATCAGAAGGCCTGCATCAAAGCGGGGCCCAAAGCTGCTCTGGACCCTTAATGTTTTGGTACTCACTAAGAAGACAAAGAAGCATCGACAACTGCCCTCTACTCCAGGACAGGTCACTGTAAATGAAAACCTACACACAACCTGAGAAAAACAGCTTTTGATGTGATTACAAGCTGACTATGGCCTTTTGTACTTATTTTTTACTTTTTAAGAAAAACTTCACGAACGTGTATGTTTGGAATTGAATCAAGCAATATCCTGTAATCTTGTCAGAAAAATTTTGATTCTTTTTTGTACCTGCTTGAAGCATATTTGAATGTCATTTATTTCATTTGGAAACAGCTGAATTGGAAGATGTTTCAAATAAACATTGTTTGCATGTTAATTACTTTTTAGAATGTATTACCTTAAAGCGTGCACCATACAGGGGTTAATAAAAAAGAAATACTGTACTAATACAGTACTGTGATGTTGAACTTCTTGAATTATTGCCAAAAATGTAGGCTTAAGTACTATATCCCTCTGATATATTAATTGTATTAAAAATGGAAAGGAAAAAGCTGTCCCTTTTCCCTTTTAATACACAGTAAATATGCTGTCATAAAAAGTTCACCGTACCAAATCCTTGACTTTTCAATAAAAGGATAATGTCTGTTTAGACAGCCAAAAGAAGGGGATGACATGTTAAAAAGTCCAAAAGGCCTCTTTCAAATCTGGAACTGCAGTATTTAGGAGCTTCGGGTCATGTACTGCCAACGCATTTAGCATCCAGTGTAGACACTGATATACATTTCTTTCACTATGTTGTATTACCCTTTAATACCATATTTATTATTTTTTATATAGTTTCTGAAATCTTTTGCATCTGGACCTTTTGCTTCATTTATTGGTAAAACCTTTGCTCAAAACCCTGTTGGACACAATCAGTTATACCTGATAACAGTGGGCAGAAAACAACAGTAACAATTGTTTTGACTTATCGCATGGTAATTAATCAAAGATATTTAAAAAAATACTTCTGCTTATGTTTTTTTAAATATATTTTAAAAGGCCAAATAAATATTTCAGAGTAAAATTATTTTGGAATTTCTTTGTTTTCATGGATCAGGCTTGACAGGGTTCATATTATTAGCATACATATTTATGATTATTGATGCAGAAATTGCAAATCTAATCTAAAACATCTGGGAATTCTTTATATGGACTACCATCAAACTCAAGAATTTAAAATTCCGAATTTGATCATTTTTACATAAAGACAATCATATTAGTCAATGCATATTTTGAATGAACAACGAGACAATTCACTTCACATCACAGAGATTTTATTCAGAGGAAAACCAAACTTATCATTTTCAGTAGTTAATTTAACACCAAATTGAATATCGCTGTTTGGAATGCATTAGGGAACACACTGCAATCAATTATTTCTAGTTTAAGTATCATTTTGTGTCCCTTTTAATATTCTTCTCCTTCTTCCTCTCCCTCACCTTCA